CCACCTATTGACTTTTCAGTAATGCGAAATAGAATTTCATAATACATGCAACATTAGATATAGGAAATCTGTCTCTACAAACTTGTATATCTCTTGCTCGTGAATAAAATCCTTATCCTGTTACAGACATCTTAGCAACAAGGCCATCACAAATGATGACAGACTGTATATTAATCACATCTCATTATGATATTTGAGCAGAGCTCAGTCCGTCCTATTGAGATCCCTTATATGAACTACTTCTTTCTTACATTGCTGGGCATATGACACGATAGTGAAAATTGTTATTTTAATTTTCGATCATCAAAGTACTTATTAGTTATCTTATAGCTAGTTTGTTTAGTTATTTTCAAATACAATAACTAAAGTTTTCAATAATGACTCATCACACGAAAATAAATATTTAAAAAAAGAAAATATGAATTTTTAGGGTTTTTATCATCATTATCTTAACATATAGTGCATACTATTAATAGAAAAAAAAAAGTAGAACAATGAAAAAGTATTTGATAATAAAAATGACAGAAAGATAAAGAAAATATACAAAATAGGGATGGGCAGTAGGACCGTCTTATTCTGTATTCAGTTTTATTCTAAAGGATGATGAAAAAAATGCGTCTGAAAATAGATAGAATAAAATGATTTTCTTGTGATTAATAGTAGCAACTAGATTGTGTTTCACATTTTAATCTAACAGGAAGTGTGCTAATAGCTTTTTTTTGTCTATCATTATTCTTTAGTATCCACGTCATATTCCAATGCCAGATCGTGAAAAACGTAAATTAGCTGAACTTGAACAACAAGATGCAGCTTTATGTCGAAATGAAGAATTAATAATAAATATTCGACAAAGTTTTTGTTTTAAATGTCGTTATATATATCGACCAATACAAATAATTCTTGGAACTCTTTTATTTTTCTTTGCTATAATTATATTTATTTCACTTTTATTAAGTAATATTAATAAATGTATTAATTTTATAAATTTTAAACAAATATTTGCACAAGGCAATCAAACATTACCAAATCCTATTGATATTGTTTTAACATGGACTGGAAAAGTAAGATAATAAAATTATAGGTTTTTGTTTTTTTTTTAGTTAAATAAATTATCTCTTTGTTTTTTTGAAGTTTTATCCAATCAGTTATATATTTCTCACTGGTTTAATGGTTTATATTATTTTAACATCTCTTTATGGTTTACAACAAATTGGTATTTGGTATTTTTGGATTCGAGTATGTTAACGATTAGATATATATTTGAAGTTTACTTTCATTTATTTATATCTTTTTTTTGTTTTTCTATTTTCAAAGATGTATCGATTTTCTCGTGGAGGAACTAAACCACAAGCTATATTAATGCTTTGTTCATTATTAATGTTTATTGTGGTTGCAATTAATGTATTTGTTTATCTTCTTATTCCTCAATATGCAATTTATGGTGATCAACATTATTCAGTAATTAATAATGTATGTCAATAAAAAGACTCAATTAAAAATTAGAGATCAGAAGAGAAACTATCGGGATTTATTAAAGGCGATTACAAGAATTTGATTCTGGAAGGAGATGTATGCAGGTTTGTAGGTAGATGGGGCTACATTCACTGTATACAGTCCATATAAATTGAAAGTATAACCATTGAGTTTTTATGTTTTCATTGCCGTAACTTGTTTGTTTTTAAGTTTATTATATATAAGGAGAAAGTTCGGAAAACGCAGCATCTAATGGTATATTTATGTTAAACAATAGATACAGTTTGAAGTATAAAAAGAGTATTTGAAAATATAGTAACATTTTTGTGTTTTGAAAAATACATTCATTTCAGAAATCGAGAAGAGTAAGAATTTTTGAAATATCTTTCGATAGAAACAAGATAGAGATTTGTGGTTCTCACCGTTTGAAAGAGGAGTTCAATCTGTATCTGATCTCATATTTCAGATGTTCCTGACAACTTTTCCCTAGAAGCTTTAGCCAAGTCTTTTAAAAAACTGACTTTTTACTGTAGTCTTTGAGAAAAACTACATTTTTTTGCCTCTCTAGAAGTGTCAACATCTTAAAGGACTTGACTAAAGCCTCAAGTAAAAGTTATCAGGAACATCTGAAATATGAGATCCAATACAGATTCATCTCCTCTTTCGAATGATGAGAACTGCAGATCTCTATCTTGTTTCTATCGAAAGATATTTCAAAAGTTCTTACCGTTCTTGATTTCTGAAATGAATAATAAATATGAATGTATTTTACAAAACAAAAAAAAATGTTACTATATTTTCAAACTGCATTTATTGTTTAACATAAATATACCATTAGTTTCTGCGCTTTCCGAGCTCTCTCTCTCTATATAATAAGTTTATAAACAAACAACTTATGACAATGAAAACACAAAAACTCAAAGGTTTATACTTTCAATTTATATGGACTGTATACAATAAATGTGGCGCCATTTATCGAAAATTTTAGTACACAACAGAACTTGATAATAGACAGAGGCAATCTTTCCCTACAAACCTGCATACATTTCCTCCTGGGATCAAATCCTTGTAGTCGTCTTTATTCAAACCGGTAGATTTATATATTGATAGTATCTAATACATTTTAACTTTACGAAAAGAGAGCAATAGTCCAGAAAGGTTGGTACTTGTCCTCGGTCTAATTTCTTACATCTGATGATAAAACATATAAAGCGAAATTTTATAGAAAAATCTCGAAAGTTGCTGATGCTAATGTTTGCATACAGTACGTTGTGGATACGTGTCAAACAATGTAACCAACTCAGCAGTAATAAGCTAAGAGTTTGAACTCTTTTTAAGGTACTCATTAGGAAGCTACGGATCCCTATTTTTGTAGACCCAGTAGGGTCCGAATCCGAGGTTCTTTCTATCAATACTTGGCACCCTTCGTGTACGTGAACGAGTAAAGAATTAAGATTTTAGTTATTTATTCGCTACTCTCAAGAAAAAAAACTGAATGTTTTCTTGATCGAGATAATTATCTTGAATATATTTAGAACGGAACGGTTATTATTCAATCATGTACGCAATTTGTAACAACAAGTAAAACTTATATTGAATTTAAAATATATCTTATTAAAAATATTTGTTTTTTTAGATGAATGTCAAATGACCGTAATGGGTCGTATTATACTTCGATTTTTCTATAAAGTTTGGTTTTTTGGAGCAATTTATTTTTGTCTAAGTTGGTTATTTCTTATTGTAAATATTAATGAATATTTTTGTTTTGATTGATTTTAATTTCTGATTATATATATATTTTTTTTTGTAGATCTTTGTCGGTAGTTTTCTATTGAAATTAATTCGTAATCGTGAATCAAATATTCACGAATATACTGTCGAAAGTTTATTGGAAAATGCAGATGAAACTGAAGATGAACCATTAATCGAGTGAAATAATATGAAGCAAAAAAAAAAAAAAAAAAAAAAAAAAAAAAAAACTGTATCTATTTTTTCTTGTCTTATTTATTTATCTCGATTCAAATTATTGTACTGTCACTGATCAATGTATATGTATATATATATATATATTTGTATGTGTATGTTTATCTCATTTTATTTTATTTTTTTCGAAGATTAAAATACTAACCAAGAAAATGTGATCTTTTCAATTTTTGATTATTAAATTAACCGAAAGATGATCTTTTTGTTTTTAGTTTTATGATTATATGAAGTAGAATTGCAGAAAATTTGTTATAGTTCATTCATTCGATCTTAGCAGATCTTCTGAGTTTGAATAATTAAAGAAATTGGATTTTTATGAATTTAACCGAACAAAGTTAGCCTGTAATTTATTAATCACTTTTGAGTCTAGACCAATTCGAACCCTTAGGTTATTACTACATCTTAACCGAACTCTTAGACCAATGCCATAGTATCCATTAAGAACATTGATTTTCGAATTTTATTTATAGAGACAGACTTTAACGAGAATAGTTTATTGTAAAAGTTTCAAGTCTTTTGGTTTGGTCGTATCTTGAAATAAGAACATCGAATCTGTCAGTGTATGAGCAATGTAAAAGGTACATTTTTACTATAGCTGTATCTTAACATAGGAACAATGAAAAGCTTTGAAACTTACATAATAAACTGCTTTCGTTAAAGTTGGTCTCTATGAATAAAGTTTGAAAACCAATGTTTTTGAGAAGGACTATGATATTTAAACATACTAACGAAATGAAGTATCTCTGCAGCAATAAACTAAGACCTTGTGTTCTTTTCTGTATATTTATATCTGATTGATGCAGATAGTTTCGACTTAAAAATGATTGATTAGTTGAACGCCTTCTCTCGTAAGCTCAAAAAATCATGATTGCCCATATGTATGCAGGGATGTACTAAATCAATAACTGTTCCGCTAGAATGATAGATTTTCAAGCTGGCTTCCTAAGATATTTTCACTAAGAAAATATCTTAACTTTGTGTTCTTTTTTATTTTTTAAAGTTCAACGTTCTGGAGAAATAGTTTATATTAGATAAAATTATTATTCATGAATTTATGTATATGTATTTGTTTGTTTGTTTGTCTTTCAGATGTCGAATGATTTTACACCTTTAAAATTGGATGAAAGTCAATTATTTGAATTAGTTCGTCTATCGAATATAATAATTGACGAACGTATGTTTAAAATAATTCTTGAATTACTCAAATTAAATATTAAACCAGAAGCTATTATTCAAGTATTAAAAGTCTTAGCAAAACAAGGATTAACATCAACATCATCTTAAAATATTATTATATTTTCTTTTTTTTGATTTATTTGTTTGTTAATCTTCTTTTTTTTGTCTTGTATTAATATTAACAAAAAAGAAAAAAAAAACTCTAGTTAGAGAAAAAAAAAATGTAACTTTAGATTAATTATTATGATAATTTCTTATTTGTACAATCTTCGTTCATTATTATCATCATCATTATTAACAAGCCATAATACAAATTCAATCGATAAACTTTCTTTGAAAATAGAACAACTACTACTTTAGATTTAAATATGTGTGATACATTTTATGTAACACCTGCTAGTGAACTTGAAAAACTCGAAGATTGGAAAAATCCATTAGCATTTCAAACAGCTCATCACCATGAAAATTTAAATGTTCCTGATTCAGTTGAAGTTGAATGGCGATTACGTGATCGAGTATGATAATCAAAAACACAAATAAAAAAACAAATTCAATTGATTTCTATGCATTTTTGTTTTTATTATTATTCTTTCTAAATAGATGAAAACAGTTAGTGTTGCATTGGTTATGTGTCTTCACATAGGTGTTGATCCACCAGATGTAACAAAAACAAGCCCATGTTCAAAACTTGAATGTTGGATTGGTAAATAGTTGTTCTTAGAAATTTTATAGAATATTATTTAATTTTTTTTCTTTTTTTGAGATCCATTTTCTATGACACCTCGACGAGCCCTTGAAACTATAGCTGCTGAATTACAACGTCAATATGAACGATGGCAATCTAAAGCACGATATAAATCAAGTCTTGACCCAACACAAGAAGATATTAAAAAATTATGTATGACTTTACGACGTAATGCTAGAGTATGTATACAAATTGAAAATACTGGATAACTGTCTTCTTAAATATCTACAACAATCTCTGGATTATTTCTTTGTTCATAGCTCAAGAAACGCCTTTATTCAAAGTAGAGCTGGGCATCTTCATGGCAACGAGTACTAGGGGACGGCACTATCAATTCTTTTTCCTATTGACAGTGACGTCCCCAAGTATTCGTTGCCATGAAGATGCTCAGCTCTGTTTCATTGAATGTCAAATCGACATTTCTAATCAATGAAATCGTAATGATCTTACAGGATCACTATTATTCATTTCAAAATATAATGTGCTCCATTGTTTTTTTTTTGAATAACTTTTGATAGGACTACTATAGAGACCCAGTGGCGGATCCACCATTTTGGCGATCCGGCGATCGTCACTCTCCTAAGAATAGAAGTGATGGCGAAAACTTTTAAAATGTTTCTCTAATGTTTAAACTCAAGAAATAATATCTTGCAATACAAAAAATTAACCAAATATCAGTTTTGATCGTTAAAATACGATTTGAAATGTTTAATAAAGTTCTCGGGTGAGTAATAGCGACAGGTGCAAAAAACGGCATTAGTCATAACTACCATTCGTCGACGCTTTATTCAAAGATACTTCAAAATTAAGCTATAACAAACAAAAAGTTACAATGTTCAAAATACAATCAAGATAAAATCTCAATTAAAAAAGATTTGTCTAATTGTTTGATCTATAGTTTTGAATCCTTTCTTAGAAAGATCTAATCTCTTCAATACATGTTGATCGAAATACGTAAAGCATATGCCGTAGAAATTAAATTTTTAGAACTGCCTTCTTTAATGCAACATTTGGATGTCTTTGAAAAAATATGATTTATTATCGAGTAAAGCACTGCAAGAAGAAGCATTGTAAATTTTCAATGAAAATTATTATTTTTATTTCGAACTCTCAACAATTATCAATTGTCATCATCAGGAAATGACTATAGGAAGGTACAATAAACTATGTATGCACAAATTTACAATTAAAGAGAAAAGAAAAACGATGAAAGGATTACACAATTACAATCTTCAAAAAGTTACGCTCGTCTGCGGACTCGCTCAGCTCTTTCTCGTAGAAATGCTGTTTCTGATCTCTCAGCAAACTAGGGTGTGGCTGCAGATGTTCTCATTATACACACCCACGTCGAGTCTTGTTGCCAAATAAATGGTTTTCACTTGAAGTTTCTCTTGAGAACGACAACTACCAATTATTACGTTCTAGCACCCGCAACCATCTATTTCTACGCATGATACCTATTTACACATTTAACTATTGCCGATATCTCAGCTCTAGACACTTTCTTTCATAAGAAATATTTCATAAATTTTACTATTTGTTATTCTTGCTATAGTATTAACAGAAACTAATCATAGATTTCGATTTTTTACCTTCAATAGCCTTTGATCAATTTTTCTAGACAAAAAAATTTGTAAAAATAGTCATAAAAGAAAAGTGCGGCTGACCTCGGCTTCCTCGCCCTTAACTACCTTTGGTCAAGTTTTTGAAAAACATAAATAATTAACAATTAGTTAATAATTAATTAATTAAAACTGATCTCGGATTCGGATTCTCCACATTCAATCATCTTGCATCAAGTTTTTTAAAAAACATTAATCATTATTAATCAGTTAATTAGTAATTAATAATTAATTAATTAAAACTGCTCTCGGATTCGCGTTCCACACCCTTAATTACCTTTGGTCAAGTTTTTTAGAGAAATATTAATAATTGATAATCAATTAATAATTAATTAATACTAACCTTATATTTAAACTCTCTGCTCCTGATTACCATTGGTCAAGTTTTATGGAAATTAATCCCTTTTATTTTCACATTATTCTTGGACCAATCAGTGAAGTGCGAACACACAAGCAAGCAAACAATTTATTCTTGCTAGACTCTTCTCTACGAGAAAGAGAACTAGCAATATAACTACAATCAAAATGAAACGTAAAGAACAAATATTTTTACCAGATACAATAATTGATACCTATGCTGCTTGTCCTGAAGCGTTTTACCCAAACATGAAAGTTTTATTGAAAATCTGTACAACTCTACTAATGACAACAGTAACTATAGAACAAACATTCTCTGTCCTCAAATTACTGAAGACTTATTTACGTTCGACCATGTTGGAAACAAGACTTCATGGATCAGCTATGATATATATTTATCGAGATTTAGTTCTAAATATTGATGTTGGAATTGATGAATTTGGAAAATCTAATCGTCAATTGGTTTTTCTAGATTTTCTGCTAAAATTTGTCTGAAAAAAAGGTTTTTTTGTCTCATGAATTTATACATTTACTGTATAAAACGGAAATAAAGAATTGTAAGAAAAGGACAACAGTACTTTATCTATTTCCATAAAAATTCATATTACCTCGGGTGATATAATTTAGAAACCGCCACCACCTCTCTAAAATCCTGGATCCACTCCTGGTAGATTGTTGGTGGAGAATTTCGAAAACGCTATTCTGAAACTACTTCTCTTTCGATCTGCACAAGACCGACATTCTTAGCTTGTTTCATTCGAGAGTTATAAAACTTCCAATTTCAGCCAATTGACTTCTGATCACCCAGAAAAGCAGCTAGGCAGGGGTAAGTAACCGTACCAAGTCGAATAGCGATATTTGTGTTTTAGATTAGAACTGATCTGACTGTATTAGCTCAATATTTTTGAAATTCCACAATCAGTCTTGATATGTAACGAATGAGTTGATATTTCAGAAATATTAAGATAACAGTGTCAGATCAGTTCGAACCTAAAAGCAAATATCACTATTCAACTCAGCACAGTGAATTATACCTGCCTAGCTGTTTTTTCGGGTGATCACAAATTAATTGGTTGAAATCAGAGATCTCAGGAAAAGGCTTGTAACTCTCGAATGAAACAAGCTAGAAATGTCAGCCTTGGACAGATCGAAAGACAAATAGCTTCAGAATATCGTTTTCGAAAATTTCTACTAAGAATTCATCTGATTGGTTACTTCAAATGATTCCCGAGGCTTCTCTCTTCAATGGTGAAAACTGTATGTCTCTATGATGTTCCTATCAAAAGTTATTCAAAACACAGTGAAGCACATTATATTTTGAAATACATAGCATTAGTTTTTTTTTTTCTATGATTGAAATGCTATTACGTTGAAAAGATTATAAGTATAAAATCATTACCAACTTTTTGATATGACAGTGCACTCTTAACATGCGACATTTGGACCAATTAAAAGATTGACTAATTCATTATCAGGTTATCCGGAAAGTTCGTGCAATATCCATGTAAAAGTTGTGATCCAAAAAAGTTACTATTAAGTACTTTTAATATTTTTTTCACAAAGTGGAAAAAGTACTTATAAGTGAACCTTTTTAAGTGAGTGACTTTAAATATATTTATAAGTAAAAAGTACTTTTTATTACTTTCGAAAGTCCTACAAAGTACTTTATATGATTCATGAGATAGGAAGGTATTATCAAGTACTTCTTACAGTGAAACAAGTATCCGAAATACTTTAAAAAGTGAAAAATAATAGGAAAAATTACTTTATTCTACGTTATTAATATTCAACTTTTTTTTTGTTACTGTTTTTTTTTACATTGGTAGGCCTCGAAATGCATTCATAGAGCGCACATTGTTAGCAGAATTCCCATCTACTTGCTTCAATAGCTTCATTTGATCTGTGAGAAAAAAGTTTTTCACTAGCATGTTTCAAAGATAGCAGAATGATACTAAAACAATTAGTGACGATTTTCGAATAAAAAAAAAATTTCATGAATAGACTTCTATGCCATTTTATTTCTATAGGAGGAGCGTATTCTATTTCATTATAATGGTCATGGTGTACCACGTCCGACAGCTAATGGAGAAATTTGGGTATTTAATAAAAATTTTACACAATATATACCATTATCTCTATATGATTTACAAAAATGGATGAGTTCACCATCAATTTATGTATTTGATTGTTCTCATGCCGGTGTTGTTCTTAATTTATTTGTTAAATTTGCTGAACAAATTGATAAAGAACTTGAAGAAGCTCGACGAAATTTAGCACAAACTTCTTTTCCTTCTTCTTCGACGAATGTTCATCCAGCAGCACAAATACCACCACTTCTTCCTACATCTTCACCTATACATGATATTTTACTTGGTGCTTGTAGTGAAAATGAACTTTTACCTATGAATCCTGAATTACCAGCTGATTTATTTACATCTTGTTTAACAACACCTATAAGAATAGCATTACGTTGGTATGTTTTACAAAAAAATATAAGTCGACTTAATCCAAATATTGATCAAGAGATGATTGATAAAATACCTGGTACAGTTACTGATCGAAAATCAATGTTAGGTGAATTAAATTGGATATTTACTGCTGTAACAGATACAATTGCATGGAATTCATTACCTAAAGATACATTTCAACGTTTATTTCGACAAGATCTATTAGTTGCTTCACTTTTTCGAAATTTTCTTCTTGCTGAAAGAATTATGCGTTCATATGGTTGTCATGTTTGTTCAAGACCAACATTACCACCTATGTTTGAACATCGATTATGGTTAGTAAATTTGAATAGATTTTTTTGTTTTTTATTTCTGATACGTACGTTAAAATATAGTTTGAAGATTCTTTATAATTCGAATAGAAAATGATAAACAATCATAAAGTTAATTTAAGATTATTATTCAGACAAAAATAATTAAACTAATTTTATGTTGACGAGGAAACGTTCTTAAGTGTGACTTGCTAATCGAACTGATGTTTTATCCATACCTAGGTTCTAACGAGTAGAGCATATTGATAGGGAGCTGCGAGTCCGAGTCCAACAAATTTTATTCAATCAGATCCGGATTCAAAAATTCTTGAACTCGATGGGCTTGACTAATGAGACTAGTCGATTTCAGATTGAAATTTTGTAGTTCGATTGTTTCACAAATACCTTGTCAAAGATACAAAAGTCATTAGAATTATAATAACTTGGGAACGCACTTTTTATAGGCTTTGACTAATCTCGACGAGACCTATTGTGATGTTCCCGATTTTTTTTGATATGTTGTTTATGCATGACGTTTTAAGCTTTCCTTGTCTTTCTCTAACATAATAATATCTGTATAGACTTGCATGATGTTTAACCTTGTCAACACTTGTATGTAACATTCTTGCGTGTTATGTTAGTGATAAAATATACCTACTAGATTATTCGAACTATATGTTCAATTCTGCATGTTAATAAAAATAAAAATTCACATGTACGAACATTATTACTAAGCATGATATTGTGTCATATAAATTTATTTCTTATTAAAATGAAAACTTTTTCCTATAATAACACAAATATCGACTTTCAAAAATAAAATAATCTTGTTTACTTTTTCAAATTATTCATAGTTATTAATATTCATGTGCATGCATGCTTAATAATTTCCTGACAATCATTCCACATTTCAATTTCCATTTCATTTTTCATGTAAGTAAGATAGTTGAAAAAAATTCATCTCAAAAAAGATGCATGTTTGAATATTATTTCTGTAAAAAAAAAAAAAAACATCTTTCTAATCAACGAATGAAAACTTTTTTCTGTCGAGAGGATCAGAAAATCTAGCGCTGCCGTTACTACAAGTCAGCCCAATATCTGTAGTTCTTTACTTCTAAAACGATCAAATACTTCAATGTACAATTTTAATAAAAAAAAAAAAAAGTGAAACTTCGAACTATATTTTAAGTCATTAAACAATGAAAGCGATTAGAATCTATTTGTTTTATAAAAAAAAAAAAAAAAAAACTTTCTTTTTTTATTAGGAATGCATGGGATATGGCGCTTGATCTATGTCTTAAACAATTACCATCTGTATTAAAACAAACAGAAAGTGGTATACGTGAACCTGTTTATGAACCAAGTTCATTTTTTGCTGATCAATTAACAGCATTTTCAGTATGGCTTGGTGAAAATTCTTTATTAACAACAACGGTTGAAAAAGAACAATTAAAACAACCTGAACAATTACCAATTGTTTTACAAGTTAGTTGTTTATTTTTTTTTTTTTTGTATAATAAAAACAAAAAAATGAATTATTTTTTATTTAAAGGTATTACTCAGTCAATCTCATCGACAACGAGCACTTGATTTACTTGCACGTTTTCTTGATATTGGTACATGGGCTGTTCATCTTGCACTATCAGTTGGTATATTTCCTTATGTACTTCGTTTATTACAAGCAACAAGTGATGATTTACGACCATATCTTGTTTTTATTTGGGCTAAAATATTAGCAGTTGATCGAGTATGTCAAATTCATTCAATTATTTTATTAAGTCTCTTTTGTTTTTTCTATAGGCATGTCAAATAGATATTATACGTGAAAAAGGTCATGAATATTTTATTTCAACATTAACAGATGCTCGATCGTCAAATGGTGTTCGTGCATTAGCTGCTTTTAATTTAACTTGTTTAGTTGATAATTATACTAAAGGACAGGTATATATATATATATATATTAAGTACTAGCGAGAATCCATGCATACTGGACGGCAGCATTTTTTTCTTTAACGTGCGACGTCAAAACTTCAACCTTTCACTCGGTAACAGACGCACAGACACTCTACATTATATTCATAGAAATCCTACTACGTGATGTCTTTATATCACTAATAGGCCATGTAGCCTTACTCCTTGCAGCCTTATTCGACGTTTAACCTTTGTCTTTTGACCTGGCATAGACAGACACGCAGATACTGAACATTATATATATAGACTATCTATAGTACTGGTGAAAAATAGAAGACTAACGTATTTCTTTCTACTATGGTAAGCATTTATCTGAAAACCAAATAGTAGTTTGAATAGCTGCTAATGAAGTTCTCGATCAAATGCATCCGAAACCGAAGTTTCATCGATGGACTATGAGAGGAAGATTTCTGAGAAACCAAATACTGAGATTTTCAGATCTCAGAAGACTATGTGAAAATTAGTTTTTAAAAGTGTCACCTTAAAGAGAGAATAGAATGAGAGGTTGCCACATTTTCTACAACCTTGCCTTAAAAAGTAATTAACAATGCTATGATAAATTTCGCTGTTTTTTTTCATTTTTTTGTAACGCTTATAACTTTTTAAGAGAAGATCATAGGAAATATGGCGACTCCTAATTTTATTCACTCTATAAGATGGCACTCTTAAAAGTTAATTTTTACATAGTCTTCTGAAATCTGAAAGCTCTCATGCTTGGCCTCTCAGAAACCTTCTTCTCATCGCTCATCGATGAAATTTCGAATTTGAATACATTTGATAGAAAACTTCATTGACTATTTAAACTACTATTTGAATTTGAGTTAAATGTTTAGTATCGTGCAAAGTTTAAAGCAGTTGTATTTTTGAATTTTCTTCTCGATGGTAATAACTAGGACGAATCTGAAAAAATATTCGAATAACTAAAAGAATTCTCTATTGAGAGACTTGTGGATCTAAAAACTACTTTGATGAAGATGTCTGAAAAATTAAGACTTCTATAACAACTATCAAAAAGAATTCTTTCAGTTAATCAAATGTTATTTTTTTCTTTTTGTTTCGAGAAGAAAAATCAAAAAATCCATCTACTCTAAACTTTTATCCGTTATTATATGATCTATCATATTTTTGTTTTTTGATTTTAGGATGAATTATTACCAGTCATGTCTCGTGTACTTGATATTTTAAATACACCTACAACATATTTTCATGAAACATCAGCTCTTTTTCTCTGGTCAACATTATTTCTTGGACAAGCATGGCGTTTAAATGCAAATGCATGTGAAAAAGCTGTTCTTATTCGTGCACCTGATACATTACAAAGTTTACTTACTACACATGATACTCCTGAAGTTCGTGCTGCTTGTGCATATGCTTTAGGTACATATTTATCATCATCAACATCTGGTAATGAATTAAGTGAACGTCGAAGTGAACAATCAAAAGAAGCAGCTATTGCACTTATACGTTGTCTTCATGATGGTTCACCACTTGTTCGACAAGAAGTTCTTGTTGCATTACATCATTTTTTAAATTTATTTCCTCAAACAACAACAACGACAACAACAACAACAACAACAACAACAACAACAACAACAGCAACAACAAATACTAGTGGAACAAATATTACAAGTAATGTTAATCGTACTGGTAGTTTATTATATAAAACTGTTTTTGATAAAGTTACAGAAGCAATACAAACTGTTGCTTCATCAGATCCATCATATGAAATGGTACAATTATCGGAAAAAATTCTTACAAATTTACAACAACCAATAAGTACAACATTTTTTCACTGGTGTTGTAGTCGATTTCGTGTATCAAATACAATAACACGTGATCTTGGATCTGGTATAACACAACAACGTGGTGCTTCATATATAGAAGATGAAAATGATTTTTTTGCACGTAGTAATCGTTATTGGCGTAATCATTGTATACGTTCAAATCCTAGTCGATTAGCTGATTTTCAACATATGCGTGAAACAATATTTAATAATCGTATATCAAATGCTACTCCACTTGTTTTACGTCTTCATCCATATGAAAATTATTTAGTTGTAGCAAATTCAAGTGGAAATTTAAATTTTTATGAATTTGATGGAAGTCCACGTTCAAAATCGATATTGAAGGTTGTTGTTGTTGAATTTTTGCTAAAATAGAACAAAAAAAAGGAACTAAGAAAAGTATTAGTCTACATGAGAATTTTCCTTACCGTTAGAAAACAAACAGGAGTTTTTGGTGAGTGTATGCAGGAAGCTGCGGATCAGCGTTTTTGTGGATCCAGACGGGTTCAAACTCGAGATTTTTTCCATCAATACATATCACTCTTCGTTTGCATGAACAAGTAGAAGATCAAGGTTTTAGCAATTTATTCGTCACACTCTGAAGAAAAAACTCAACATACACTTATATCCTGTTGCTATATTTCTCACCTGGAAAGCAGCGGATTCACAAAAACGTGGAATCGAGTCTGACACAAAATAAAAAATTGGACTCGGACTCATTTTTTATCTTAAACAAGGTATTAATGAAACAATCGAAGTATGAAATTTTGCCTACATGTAACTCTCGTCGACTTTAGAATATCCTGAAAATTTCAAACCGAAAATGGAGTATTGCACTTGAGATATCGAATGCTGAAAACATCTTTCTTTGGGACATATGATTATTTCTCAATATTCAAGACCTAAGAAAGAATAAATTCCATTGGACTGAAATTTTTAGGACATTCTAAGGTCTAAGAGAGTTACATATAGGTAAAATTTCATACTTCGATTTTTTCACAGATACCTTGTGGGAGATAAAAAATTAAGTAAAATTGTAATAACTTAAGAAGGAGAGTACATGGAGACCAATCCTACTTATGGGTAAAATATCGATTCGATTGACGAGTTTCACTTGGTGACGCTTCTTCATCAACTATTAATATCGTTTTATACATTAACGAATTTCATGTATCATCTAGAAGTGGATCATTATTTAAATGACTTTACTTAACACTTAATAATAAAATGGTCCACCTTTAGTGTCTTATCTGATATGTATCTATCGTTTTATTTTTAATTTATTTTTTAGGTTGGTTCAATAGGTTCAACAATCAATACATTAGATTTTATTAATGCACATGATCGAACATTAATTTGTGTTGGAACTGATACAAGTGCTATTCGTATATTTGATGAATCTACTCAACGTCTTATTTCATCATGGATAGCTTTATATGATCAATATACTCATATTCATTCATCTCATCATCATCATCGTTCAATATCTAATCCAACTTCTACATCACAAGCAAAATTTGTTGTTGATTGGAATCAACAATTATGTCGTATATATACATCAAGTTCTAATATTGATTATATATCTCTATGGGATGTTGAACGTGAACGTCGTTTATATACAATGGATACAGGTACATCTGGTGGTGTTTATTGTCTTGTATCAGATTCAAATGGTTATTGTGCAGCTGGTATGGGTGATGGAACAGTACGCTGTTTTGATACACGTTCACGAGAAAATCCAATTGGTATTAGTCCATCACCAACACCATTGAATCGTCATTCATCTATAATTACATTAAAATCTGATATAAATAATCGTTTATTATCAATAAGTAATATGGGACAATTAAGACGATGGGATACTGAAACAGGTATTAGTGCTGAATTACCTGTACCACAAACATCACAACATATATCAGCTGCTGATATTCATTCAACAGGTAATGTATTATCATTAGCAACAGCAAATGCTTTACAATTTAAAACATGTTTTGGTGATTTACTTTTTGATATAAAAAATTCAAAATTTGCTCAAACATCATGTTTATCATTTCATCAATATCGACCATTACTTGCTGTTGGATTTAAAGATGGTTCTTTATCAATGTTTAATGGAAAGACAAATTCATCAACTGTATGATGAGATTTCTTGTCTTCTTTTTCTTTTTCTTTTTCTTTTTTTTTTTGTGCTCTTTGTTATTGTTGGTTCTATTTTTTTTTCTATTGATTCAGATGATTTTTTTTTCTTTTTTTTTTTTTGCTAATAGATTTCTACTCTTGATGGTAGTGGAAATTTCAAAGTTCTTTTTTCGTATTTCATTTATACAAAGAGAATTTTTATAAAAAAAAAAAAAACGAAAATCTACACCAGTGATATTGTTTTCATTTCTTTTTTTCACCTTAAAAAAAAAACATAATTTTGAGTACTAAACAATAATAAATGACGTTGTTCGTTTGCGAAATATTTTAGTTCTGTGAATTGTGAAATTTACATTTGCTAATTTTTATCTCTACTAGAAAAAAAAAATAAATAAATCATTCATTGTAGTAAACAATTATCTATTTGAATCAATTTTATGATTAATTGGTACATAGACAAGAAAAATAATTGTATTTTACATGCAAGTTACAGTTTTTCAATAATCGAATTTGGAACTGTATACAGTCATAATGGTGTGTGGTCCGGATCCGATCTAACTATACTTTGATATTCTCAATGAGATTTTCTAATCGATGGCATTGGATAGTTATCCCGAAGATATACGATACTTTTTACAGGTTTTTTTTTGTATCCGTTGACTCAAGGTGTAAGCCACCGCTGTTATGACACACAAATTTTTAAAAATTTCCAACATCTCAAATTAGTTTTCGTAGATATTGCCTTCTGGTTTCTTGTCAATAAGTTCTCTATCAGTGTTTTCTGTCTTTTTCATTTCAAAATTTATCAAAAAAAAAAAAAAAATTGCAGCTACCGCCGCCATCTGAAACGGAATCGGTGTCAGTTACCGATCGACCTGGTACCAGTCTGAACTACTCAGATTGGTTCCATCCATGATTGCCGCCACCGATCACTACATCGGATTAATATAGTTCATGAATTTTTCTTTATCATGAATATTTCTATAATAAAAACATTATAGTTTTTTATTATTAATCAGTCTTTGTCACATAGAACAAGGTCATCATGATTTAATGTCTATCGTTTATTCATATTTTCTAATGAATCAAGTAATCTTGTCTATGTACGGAAGTTATAAGTAGTAAAATACAAAACTTCAATATATTATCCTAATGCATGGCAATAGTAAATTGAATAATTGGTACTCATTAGATCATGAATAAACTATTCTGCACTAATTAGATCTTTCCGTTCGTGTTCAAATCTTTCTATGTCAAAGGTCATGCTGCTTCAATATGTCTATTAACGAAATAAATCTGCTTTTTAATAATTTTTGTATTCGACACACATGTTCAACATATATAAATTGCTAATGCAAAGAGACAAATCATTAACTAACTACATTTCTTTCATATAGTTGTCTGTCATATGTTTCTTTTCATGGTTGAAAAAAACAGTTGCTTTGATAATATTGAGAAGACAGACGGTAAAGTGAAGGCGAAGATTAATGTCAAAGTAAAGGTGAGGTTATTTATTTTGTTTGATTGATCACAGTTCAAATAAACAGTCGGAGAAAAGTCAATGTCATGGAAGCATCTGTCTAGGAAACAAAAGTCATGTATTTAGATCTTTTTTTTTGTCCTTCGATTTACTATTATTAAATTATCTTTAAATCAAAAATTACAATTTCATTTATTATTTAGTTTATGAATAATAATTATCTGCGATATATATCAGTAAATAATTCATCATTCAAGAGTTCTAATATGAAAAAAACAAAATTTTCCTTATTCGTAATTGAATCCATTAGAGATTGAATACTATCAGTCTTTTACATTAGAACTCTAAGAAATTTTTAATCAATACATATTAATTATATCATAATAGATCGAAAAGAAATAGATTGAAGTCTTATGCTTTTTATGCAATCATATGTTAAGAACAACTGTCAGTCAAGTTGTCTATATGAATTAATTTATCATATGATTAATCTTGTCAATTTTTTTCCTATTCCCGCAACACAATATCAATAGAAACAATAATGGAATAATAATAGAAGATAACCATATATTTGTATGTTTGTTTTGTATTGTCAGCCTTAAATCATAAACAAAATGACATCATGAAAAAAAAAAAGATTTTAATTCATGATTGTAGGAATATTTATTTTCATAGATAATCAAAGTGAAATAAATGAACTATTACATTTTACAAAAAATAATCTACTATTTTGAAAGTAATCATAGATTCTTTTCTATCATGCAAAAATATATTTGGACTATTCATTTTTTGTTTTGTTTTTTAATCGAGATTGTCATGGATTTTCTGCAATTATTACTTTTTTTTTCTCATTAATTTACATGTTACTTCAATACCATCGTATATAATTCAATTAAATAACAATAGACTAATGAGGGAACATTTCCAACTGTCACATTGCTTTTGAGTCGAACGTATGCGTATCATGTAGACCCTAATGATCTATGAATACTCCGAAAAAAGTTTGTGCCACTACCTTATTACTGCCGAGATATTGCATTTTTACTGTATGCATAAGCAAAAAACTGTGCTCCCCTCAAGAACACTAGAAAAACTAAGTTTCAAATTTCGACTTGAAACTTTGTACAGGGACAGATCTCAATGAGAATAGTTTATTGTGAAAGTTTCAGATCTTTTCAATGCTCCTAGTCTGAAATAAGAACATCGGAATCTACTGGTGTATATAAGCTATTTTACCATAGCTGTATCTTAAAATAGGAACAACGAAAAGATCTGAAACTTTCACAATAAACTATTCTCATTGAGACCTATCTCTATTCAAAGTTTCAAGTTAAAATTCGAAACTTAGTGTTTCTATGGGGGAGGGGCCACAGCTTTTTTTTCTTAAACATACAATAAAAATGCAATATCTCGGCAATAATAAGCAAGCGGCACGAACTTTCTTCAGAGTATTCGTAGATCATTAGGGTCTACATGATGCGCATACGCTCGACTCAAAAGCGATATGACCGTTGGGAAAATTCCATCGTAAGTGGTACTTTCTTATTATTGTCTATTTTCATGTATATCAATTGCGTTGGATAAAGATATTATTCTATCAATATTCATACCATCATTTTCTAATATAATATAATTGGCACATTTATTTTCTATTATAGAAAAAGTTGAGCATCATAATAAATTAAGTAGAAATTAAAATGAAAAATTTCATTATATATATATATATTATAAACATGGAAATCTTTCTTCTATGTGAATTTCTGTTTAAAGAAAAGAAGAAGAAAACATTAATAGATTGTTTCTTTTAATTGTAAAAACAATAATGAAACATGAATGAATAATATATATATATATACAGTTTTTTTTTTTTGTTTTTAAGAAGAATCATGTCCAATATTTTCAGGTGTTGATGGAAATGATAATATTGAAGAAAAAAATGCTTTTGGTTTATAATATAATCGAAATAATGATACAGATCGAATAATTGTTAGATAAAAATGTGCATTTATCAATAGACAAAATAAATGAAAAATAAGTGATATCATTGATTTTATTTTTGTATCACTTGTTTTAAGAAACCATAGAGAAACTAAAAGAAATATTTTTTTTATGTTTAAAAATAAAAAATAAATAAATCAATAAATAAAACTTACTACAAAAAGATAATGAATGAAATAAAGTAAGAGAAAAAAGAACAAGTTGTAAAGAAATTTTATCTCCCGATCGAAGTGTTAAACCAAGTATTGTTGCCAAAACTAAATATTATTTATACAAAAAAAAAAAAAAATATTAAAAAATAAATAAAATATAACATACAAGCATAAGATGTAGCAAGATGTAATGTTGATTCAAAATTACCAAGTAATATAAATCGTAAACAAGATGGCCAAAGTAGACCCTATTCAAAAAACAAAAACGAAATCATACATGATTAATAATTTATTATTATTATTATTACCATTACAGTAAAACAACAAAATAATGTTGTTGTTAAAAGAAGCCAAGTAGCTAATTTAGGTGGTAATTGAAAAATTAAATGATCTGAATGTCCAAGTATTTGACTTATTTTTGAACCTGCTGTATCTCCAACACCTAATACTTTTCGAACTTTAAGACGACTTTGTAAATCACCACAACTACTTTTCCTTAAAAAAATATCCCTTTAAAGATATATATATATATGTTATAAGAAAATTTCATTTTAATCATTTATTAATCATATATAAGAAATAAGAATCTACCTGCTTGTAACCTGCATTATGTATTGGATAATGGATAGTCAATAAGTAAATGTTATAAAAGCAGTATTATATTGTAATTCGATCGAAGGGTATGAAGAAACAGCAAAAAAAACAAAAAGAAGAAAATTTTCTTCTACTATATACTAGTCATAAGAAATATAAATATCTAAGTAGATGTATTAGTCATATGAATCGAAATAGTTTATATAGAAAACGAAAGAATCTAAGTTTGATTTGTGTGTAAATGAGGGAAAAGAATAGAAGAAATAAGAAAAGAAAAGAAACAGAGAAAAGAAACCGACCCAATGAGAATAGATAGCTATCCTTGTCTGTTTAATATGATCCTATGTTGTTAATATTCTTGACAAGCTAACTGTTAGTCTATCTTGTTAGTACTTTAAGAAAATGACAGAAAGGAAATGAAAAAAAAGGATAGGATTTAGGTTTTCTACTATAAATAAACTGTCATTGTTTTTTTTTGTTGTGTTTTTGATGAGCAAAATAGTATTCATTGACATCAATATAAACATGGGTTTTCTTTTGTTTTTCGAAAAATACGTACAAGCATAAATCTGATTTGTTTGACCTTTGTTGAAACATTGTAGATGCTGATGTTCACGATAATAAAAAAAATGTTGTTATAATTTTTTCACTTATCTTATTTTTTAATTTTTCCTTCTAAAAAATATAAAAGATAAGCAACAAACAAAGCCATATGATCATAAAATTACAAAATGTTTTAATAATCAGATAAATTTATTCTTTTTCTTTTTTGTGTGT